GCAAAATATGCTGCTTATATACCACCCTATATTGCTTTCATGTACGAGTTAATTATACAAGCTATACATCACCCACCCTGTGTGTTGGGTACCCATTTTACCGACTTCAGAAGGATGGAAGGCTAAGTCAACCTCAAGCCAGCTGTCAGATCTGTTGGTGTTGAACGCTGACCATAAGCAGAGTTTTGACCGCAATACCGCAGTTTAGCCACTGAGCCATGAAGCTCTTTATCATGCTTAGGAATTTGCTGCAAACCAGATTGGAAAGAGTCCCCAATCTAGTTAGGACCAATGTGGAAAACGTGGGAGGGCATGCAGTCAAAGAAGAAATAAGACCTCTCATTTTTAGTCATGTTCTTGAAATTGGTAGGAGAAGGCTGTTTCTGTCAACAGGTCGATCCCCTTCTAATGTTTTTTCTTTCTTTTGAAAGAGCTCCATATATGGCCACATAACTGTGTGGCGAAGCACCTCTCTTCAGCCAAGTGAATAAAATTATTAAAGGTAATTTTCCATTTGGCTTCAGTGTTCCACCAGGCATGAATGGGAGCAGCAGGAGAAAGAAGTGGGTTGTGTTTTATAGGCACTTTTCTTATCATCCTAGGAAGTCACCACCTCAGTGGTTAGAAAACTAAACCCAGTGTGATGTACTCTTAAATAGCAGTGGCTAATCAGCATCATGTGCAAAGGCTCACCTGCTCACTTTCTCTGAGCTCCTTTTTGAAAAACCGAGTGTGTTAGTACTTGAGGCTGGAGCTTTGGCACGGAAACATACAAGCTTGTATGTGCTGTGGTTTCTCCCAGTTGCAATTACAAGGGGATATATACCAGCGGACGACAGCAGCAATGGCAGTCCTTATGGGGATTAGTGATAGCAATGGGATAGCATGTAGGGATATGAAAACTGCAAAACAAATTCAGCCAGAGGCCATAGCGAGATTCAAAACAGAGAGAGAGAGAGAGAATGCACCACATGGTCTGGTTTGGACAGTTGTAGTCCAAAACCCTGAACTTTCCCGAACTCTGTAAGCAACCTGTAGCAGAAAGCAGTCACGTAAGATGCTCACAGGACACCTTGTACACCTTAGCCCTAGTTTGCCATCGCACCGTGCATTTGACTTACTGCTCACCCACGTTTCATCTACAAAGCCCGAAGCCCTACAGTGGTGTTTTGCCTTAGGGAGAATGTGCAATAGTCAGCTGTCTTGCTTTCACAAACATTTAGAAACAAGCAACAAGGTAACTTTCTTTGGCTCTTAATGGTGTGTTTGAAAAGTATAAGCATTGATGATGATGATTGTCTTTTAAAGGATGTGCTGAATGTCCTTCTGGTTTTCATATGGATTTATCAAAAACCCTTCTTTTGTAACCTCTCTCTCCTCCTCCCTCTCTCCCCACTCTTTTCTCTCATCTGTGGTTTCTCCGAATACGAAGATATCTCTTTGCTGAAATGGGATACCATTAATCTACTTCGCCAAGCAGAAGCTTATTGCATTGTTGTGGTGTTTGTCTTTGTCTCCATCTCTCTTGCTTTTCTAAATTTAAAGGATCAGTGGGTTTTGTTCAATAAAGGCACAATTTAGCAGCGGGATGTATGTCACTGTTAACAGGATTTTGAAAGGTCCTTTATTTTCATTGTGAAATTACCGATGCATTTTATGTACAGAAAGTTAAAGTTACGATCAAAGAAGACTTTGAACAAAGCAGATGTATATAAATGTCTATTTTATATAAAAACGCTAAATGTGTGTTTCTTGTGGCTGTCTGCTTTTATAACAAGCCTGATTTCATGGGACACTTCATCTCAGGTCATTGTGTATGCATGGAGAGAGTGGAGAAGCAACACCTGGATTTCTTTAAATGAAAAAAACACACACACACACACTCTCTCTCTCTCTCTCTCTCTCTCTCTCTCTCTCTCACACTATTTGTATGCATGGAGAGAGTGGAGAAGCAACACCTGGATTTCTTTAAATGAAACACTCTCTCTCTCTCTCTCTCTCTCTCTCTCTCTCTCTCACACACTTTGACATTGCAATATCAGGAAATATCTAACCATAATGTGATACACTCAGTGGTATCTGTCCACCACAACTGGTAGTATAGATCCCACCCATGGGAACCTGCCATCTCCTGTTCCTGGTTGTTCGAAGATCCTCCGGAGCAGATTTCAGGTTGTGCAGGAAGAACAGAAGAAGAGGAAGTCTCAACACACGAGTGGCGTTCCATGTCATATTGGATGGATGTAGAGACGTTCACTGGAACACTGAATAAGACCTACTGCAAAGGCAATAATGCTAGGCAAAGTTGAAGGCAGTAGGAAAAGCAAAAGATCTAACATGAGATAGATTGCTTCAATAAAATAATCCACAGTCTTTCATTTGCAAGACCTGAACAGGCCTGCTAGTCAGAAGACTTTTTAGAGAGAATGAATTTAGTCGAGTATCATGTGGAGGAAGTGATTTGACAGCACACACCAAGCACAAGGTTAATAACTTTCAAGCTAGCACCAATATTTTCCTGGGTCATTCTGAAAGCTAATGAATTAGATCTGAGGTATCTTCCCTGAGGGAGCATTTCATAAACACAGGCCCATCGCTGAAAGTTCTATACAGGCCAATTTTGCTCCAGTGGGTGATGTTGCTTGGAGATCCTCTTACATGATTCATTGGATGGCAGAAGGCACGTGGAAGAATTTGTAATTAAAGGATGTACAGAAATTTCATGCTGTGAATATCAGATAATATTTGGCACTCGAGCATACTCCAAACAATGTGTTTTATATCATGCTTGTGGCTTCCCAAAGGCATCAGGTCCACCACCTCTCTACGAAAACAATGTTAGACCAGATAAGGCTTTGAGGTAACCCAGTACGGCTCTTCTTATGCTTGTTTGCAATCATTATTTGAGTGGAGGATATGCCGCACACAACCCTCTGTGCCTTTCCAAAGCTGGAGGGAGAGAACCTGTCTTTCCCAGCAGCTCAGCTGGAGAGCAATTTAAGCAACAACACCAGTTTCTGGGCTTCAGAGGTCCCTCTTTAAAACAGCTCAATGGGGGTTGCCTCACCCAGACGTCTCTGGGGTCTCAGCAGGCAAAGGGAGGTAATTTTAAGTTTTCCCTCCCATTTATGGTGAAGTATATGTTTATATATGTAGTTCCACACCAACCAACCACCCTTTCTCCCTGCAAGTAACACCAAATGTCGCCTTCAGGCCAAAACATTTGTGCCTCTCTGCTGTTAAAAGATCCCTCAACCCAGAATGTTTTGGCAAGCAGTTGCATACGTTATTAAATGCTCATCTCTCAACTCATGCTTTCACTTTGACACACTGCAGATTCGTTTTAACTGGTGAATATGGCCAAAGCTGCACTGTTCATCTTTTACTTCAGCAAAATCTTTGCTCTTTGTGGACTGAGATGCAGCATCTTTTGACCTACGTATTATTTTTCTGCACATTTGGAGTGCACCATTGACCCCTTACAACAATTCTGTGCAAATTCCGTCTGGGCTACAAGATCATTACTCAATTACAATGCAAGCTGGCCTATTAGATTAAAAGGGGCAGCGCTCCATTTCAAGCACAGACTGATGATGGCCAGCACAGTCCTCAGGCACAGATTAATTTCATGTATAGTTGTGCGTTTGTGCCTGTAGGTGGCTCTCAGCCTAAGAAGTATGAAGTAAATGCATTGGTGAAGGGAAGCCTCTATTACCAGGATATGGGCACCCATCTATGTACAACAAGATAAATTACTCCCCAACCGTTGTTGCTAGAGATGCTCATTCTCCTGCCTTCAGATGACACTGAGAAAGATTTCTTTTACAATTTGAGATCTGCATCCACAATAATGGACACTGAGGAAGATTTCTTTTACAATTTGAGATCTGCATTGTCAGGAATTGGTCATTTCCTGTGTGCATCTTCTGTTTCCATACTCTGAAAGCATGGTATCTGGGTGCAGAAGGAAAACAAGCTTCATTTGTTTTTGACTGTCTGTGCATTGGTGGCAACTTTCATCCCCCCACCCTTATTTTCAGTCAAAAGCTGCAGATTTGTGCATGCTAGTGGTGTTAAATGCACTGTCTTCCCATCCTTGTAATGTTTGCCTCAATACGGACAAGAAAGCATGAAGGAATGGCCCCAAACAGCCCTTCTCTACTTTTCAGTGAGGCCAGATAAAAGTAATGAAAGAGGTACAGTAGTGTTGCAAAAGGAGTGTTTAAGTGAGGTTGCAATTGTAATGTAACTTAGTGATATTTTCACAAATAGACCAAGGAATTAGTTATAAGCAACTGTGTGTGTGTTTAGTCGTTTAGTCGTGTCCGACTCTTCGTGACCCCATGGACCAGAGCACGCCAGGCCCTCCTGTCTTCTACTGCCTCCCGGAGTTGTGTCAGGTTCATGTTGGTTGCTTCGCAGACACTGTCCAGCCATCTCATCCTCGGTCGTCCCCTTCTCCTCTTGCCATCGCACCTTCCTAACATCAAGGTTTTTTCCAAGGACTCTTTTCTTCTCATGAGATGGCCAAAGTACTGGAGCCTCAGCTTCAGGATCTGTCCTTCAAGTGAGCATTCAGGGTTGATTTCCTTTATAAGCAACTACTGTAGTCCTTTGCAGAACTTGAAATGGATATTTTGTTTTTGTGGACTGCAACTCCCACACTCCTCCAGCTAGCTTGGCCACCATCACGACTCCTACAGCCTTTTCCCCCTCAGATCTTTTCCCTCTTCTTCTGCATAATACGTTACGTTTTTGCATTAAATCTAGGACAGCCATTCATTTATACCTTAAAAAGTTAAAAAAAGGACCTAGTAACCGGTCACCAAGTTTCCCAGCTGTGCCCAAAATGAATAAGGATAAATGTTTTTCAACAAGATGCTTAGAATCACTATTGCCAAGTTGTAGCCCCACCCTCTTCCCAGAATTCCTTGGGAAGAGACTGCATCTATTTAAAGCAATATAAATATCCGCTTGCTCGGTTCTGCTGAGGTGGTGGC